CTGGAAGACTTGACAAAAACTACACGGTGAGACATGGCTCATCAGGGTTTAATGAGTCCCATGGTGTATTTGGGCTGGGTCCGTGAACCTCAGGGGCTGAGAGGAGACTGAGGAAACCTCTCAAGAAGTCCAAGTCAGAAACAAAGCCCCAAGTGCCTTCAGCATTAATGGGCCCCACTGAGGGCTGTTGCTGACAAAGTCTCCCCAGGGACTCGTTAAAGCAAGTAACTGCAGGCTGTGATTACAGGGAGACAAAGGCAAAGTGCAGGTGTCTGATGGTGAGAAAACCCTTGGTTTGTTTGATGATGCAGAAAGGCCAAGCCCTGACCACAGCCCTTGGAGAAGCAGAGCCTGAAATCCTGAGGATGAAAGTTCTCCTCATAGGCCTTGATGAAAGAGGCAACTGCCATAGCCCAGGGCACAGAGGCCTTTTGTTCTTTTGGGCCTTTCAGCCATGCCAGAACCCTGTCATCTCTGCTGCAGGCTGTCCTACACTGGCCCATGCCTGCACCTCTTTCCCTTCAGGCTGTTGACCCCCATCTTGCTTTCCCACCTAGCTCTCACCTGGCATTTCTGTACCTTCAGTCCCATCTCTGCACCCATCGCTGTCTGTTCCTTGAAACACAAAGCCATGGGCTGAGACAGACTCCCTCTGGGTGACCTCTTGCACCACAAGTCCACCTTTTGAGAGACATTTCTCTTTCCTAACTTTGAGTCTGAACCTTCCAAGGTGCACTTTGCAGAGGTTTCCTTCTCTTCCTGCTAGCAAGAAAACCTCCATCATCTCTGCAGCCACATTTCACGTAGTTGTAGGCTGCTACTACAGTGTCAATTCAGCAGGTGGAGTGAATACCCCTCAGCAAGCTGATCTAAAGGAGGCTTCTAGAGGAATAGGTGATGCAATCAGTATAGAGAAAAAAGCACCATGAGAGAGCAGTGGGAAAACACAATGGTCTGGATTGAGAACTTGTTGGCAAAAGCCAAAAGGAAAGGTGGTGTCCTTGGGTGCAAGGTACCCCATACTCTGGGGACAGGGCGCTCCATCTGGGACAGCTTCCTGCCTGTAGCACCCTCTCTGCTGCGCACACCCCGCTCTCTGCCCGCACTCACAAGTGTCTCACAGAAGCTTTGCACCTCCACTGCAGGAGGTTCCTGCATTCCCCAGGCTCAGGGATGGATCCTGTATCCCACAGGAGAAGCAGGATAAGGTGTTTTTGGGGTGGTTGTGGTTTTCTGAAGGGCTGTTTTGGCTGTTTTGTTTTGGTTTTGGTCTGGTTTTGGCCTGTTTTGGGGCTCTGACCCTGTATCCCACAGGAGATGAAGGAGAAGGTGGTTTTGGCATGGTTTTTGGTATGTTTTGGGGTGGTTTTGTTCTCTTTTGGGGCTGTTTTGGGGCTCTGAGCCTGTACCCCACAGGAGAAGCAGGACAAGGTGGTTTGGGGCTGGTTTTCTCCTGTTTTGTGGGTGTTTTTGGCTGTTTTGAGGCTCTGGCCCTGTATCCCCTAGGAGAAGCAGGACAAAGTGTTTTTGGTGTGGTTTGGGTTTGTTTTGGTTTTTTCGGTGGTTTTGGGTTTTCTCCTGTTTTATGCCTCTCTTTTGGGGCTCTGACCCTATATCCTACAGGAGAAGCAGGAGAAGTTGGTTTTGGTGTGGGTGTGGGCTGTTTTTGCCCTGTTTTTGAGGTCTGACCCGGTATCCCATAGGAGAAGCAGGACAAGGTGGTTTTGGCTGTTTTCTGGGTTTTGGGTTGGTTTTGGCCTGGGTTTTGCCTCTATTGGGTTTGTTTTGGGGCTCTGACTTTGTATTCCACAGGAGAAGCAGGACAAGGTGTTTTTGGTGGTGTTTGGTGGTGTTTTGTGGGTGTTTTTGGTTAGTTTTGTCCTGTTTTGGGTCTGTTTTGGGGGTCTGACCCTGTATCCCATAGGAGAAGCAGGATAAAGTGGTTTTAGGGTTTTTTTTGGGTGTTTTGGGGTTGTTTTGGGAGTTGTTTTGGGCTGTTTAGTCCTGTTTGGGTCTTTTTGGGGGTCTGACCCTGTATTCCAAAGAAGAAGCAGGACAAGGTGATTTTGGGGTGATTTTGGCCTTTTTTGTGGTTTTCTTTGCATGTCTTGGTCTAGTTTTCCCCTGTTTTTGGGCTGTTTTACGGCTGCTTTGGGGCTCTGACCCTATATCCCGTAGGAGAAGGAGGAGAAGGCATTTTTGGGCTGGTTTTGGGTGTGCTTTGGGGCTTTTTTTGTCCATTTTTGGGGCTCTGACCTTGTATCCCACCGGGGAAGCAGGATAAGGTGGTTTTGGGATAGTTTTGGGGTGGTTTGGGGGTGTTTTGGTCTTGTTTTGGGTGTTTTTGGGGTGGTTTTGTCCTGTTTGTGTGGCTGTTTTTTGGTTCTGACCCTGAGTTTCATAGGAGAAGCAGGAGAAGATGGGTTTGGGCTGGTTTTTTTTGGGGTGTTTTTGTCCTGTTTTGGGTCTGTTTTGAGGCTCTGACTCTGTATCCCATAGGAGAAGCAGGACAAGGTGGTTTGGGGGGGGTTGTGCTGTTATTGGGGTGGCACTGTGCACCCAGGGGGGCTCCGGGAGTGACCACATGAGTAACCTGTTCTAGTGGAAGATGTCCCTACCTGTCGTAGTGCTTTCAATGAGCTTTAAGATCCCTTCCACCCTAACCCACTCTGGGATTCCATGATTCTCTGCTGTGCCAATGTCGGTCCCTCTCCACTCCTCGTAGGTGGCCGTGGCGCCCTGTTCCATGGCCCACGTTGAGCTGTGACCCCTCGCATGCTCCACCTCCGGACCAAAGGCACTGAGGAAGAGCAGCCTGTGAGGGACCTCCCCGAGCCAGCTGGGCAGAGGCTGGTCCCCCTGCAGGGACTCCTGAAGCATTCCTGCATTCCCCAGGCTCAGGGATGGATCCTGCATTCCAGGCAAGTTTGGGTAGTGCAAGAGAGGGAGACAGGAAGGTGGGCTCATGGGGCATGATGAGCAGCGTTCAGGTACCCCCAGCAGTGGGCATTCCCCATGTGCCACGCTGAGGCATGTTCCCATGAGGGAAAGTTCTCAGATAGCCTCTGGTTTGTCCAGGGCCTGCAGCCACACTCCAGGAACACCTACTCCTCCTCCACCTACCGACACCAACTGCTCTCCATTGCTGGGCTCTGTCGTGCTTGTAAGGATTTGTTAAAGCCCTGAACCATCACCTTGCTTCTTGCTGACGTCCCTCCACCCTCTCTCACCTCCCTACACACTGCTCATTGCCAACAGTAACTCACTGAAGAGTTAAGAAGCTCTCAAGGCTTTCCTCAGGGGCTGACCATGTTTCTCCATTCACCACTGATGGATCCATTGAGTGCCAGGTGTGAGGTTCCTGCAGAGGCAGAGTTGGCCCTGGGCAGAGCCCTGCTGCTGGGAGCAGTGTGCAGGGCAGAGCTGAGCACACAGCCCATGGCATGGGCTCTGGGAGCACTGAGAGGGAGCAGAGCTGGGCACAGAGCAGCAGCTCCTGGCAGGGACAGCTCCAGGCAGCAGAGATATGGATGGGCAGGGAGTGGGGGCAAAGTGCAGCCCAGCCCTGGGGAGGGTGCGTTCAGGCAGCTCTCTTGGGGTCTGGCACTGGAGGTGGCTGCTGGCCGTGCTCTGCTGCCCACAGCCCTTTGCTTCTCTCCATGAGAGCTCCGTGATCTTCTCTTTGAAACCGTGCTGCCCTGCTTTCAGCTCAGGACAGGTGTTTGTGGGGGTTCTTCAGATCAATTTGTGTGTGAAGGCATCATATACAAGTGTTGTAAGCACAGGGCAAATGGGAAAGGACTGATGGACACTGCAGCCCTCCTTGCTCTGCACTAAGCTACAAGGAGCTGAGAACTTCTCCCTGTTTCAATATTGTTCTGATTTTCTGTCATACAAAGAATGTTTTATAGTCCCGTCCCCCACCGAAAAGTGTTATGCCACTAAATAAATAACACAGTCCAAATGACTCTAAGGCCATGCTGAGCCTCTCTTGTGCAGCCCAGACTCACTTGAGTCATGAGTACAAGTAGTGAACTTTACAATGAAATTGGATTTCATCTGTCATCCCTTGTGAACATCAGAGGTGGACAAAGCACTGCTTCAGAGCAAAGCTGACTCCCATCCAACCTGGCCTTGAACACTGCCAGGGATGGGGCAGACACAGCTTCTCTGGACACCCTGTGCCAGTGTCGCACCACTCTCAAAGGGAACAACTTCATCTGAATGTCCAAGCTGAATCTTCCTTTTTTCAGCTTAAAGCCATTCCCCCTGCAGTGACAGCAGGCCCTTGCAAAAACCCCTCTCCACATTTCTTGTAAGCCCTGCTTAGATATGGAGAGATTGCTAAGATATCTCCCTGGAACCTTCTCTTCTCCAGGCTGAGCACCCACATCTCTCAGCCTATTTCCATTGGAGTCCAGCTTCCCCAGCCTCTCCCCACAGGCACCGTGCTCCAGTATCTCCTGACCTGAGGGCTCATTACTAAACCCACTCCTGCTTGCCAATAGCGTTCCTGAGTTGGGAATGTGAAACCTGGATGGAGGATTCCAGATCATCCCTTCCCTTGTTCTCCTGCCGTGCTCCTGCTCCTACAGCCCACGATGCTGCTGTCCTCCCTTGCTGCCAGGGCACACGTTGCCTCCTGTCCAGCTCCTGCCCACCCAGACCTTTCCCATGGGCTGCACCCTGCACCCCTGTGTCCCCTGCTCCCCTGCCCAGGACACCCTGAGAGCTCTGTAGCCCCCCCATGCCATCCCATCTCCCCACACCAGCACAACAGCCCTTGGCCTTGGGCTCCCCAAGAGCTCTTCCTGCTGCAGGCACAGAGCAGCCATCCCAGACCTGGAGCAGCCAAAAAGCTGCTTTCATTCCCCTTCTTTCCTGCCATGTGAGGACATATCACAGAGAAGAAGTTGCTGCAGGAACATTTATTTCCCTTAAATAAAGTGAGACACCTCCATTGACACAAAGTCTATGGGTCAGACAACAGGAGTGGCTACTTAAGCAGGAGGAGATGAAAACTGACATTTCTGTGAAGACATCACCGCAAATCAAAACAGGAAAACAAATGTAAAGCAGGAAAGACAGACGTGACCTGTCGTGACCTTCACTGGGAGTCTTTTGCAGAGCAAAACAGGCAGTGTATGGCTGCTGAAACACATCTGGTCACCAGCTTCCTCACAGCATCCTTCAGCTCCTGGTTTCTCAGGCTGTAGATGAGGGGGTTCACTGCTGGAGGCACCACCGAGTACAGCACTGACACCACCAGATCCAGGGATGGGGAGGAGATGGAGGGGGGCTTCAGGTAGGCAAATGTGCCAGTGCTGAGAAGCAGGGAAAGCACGGCCAGGTGAGGGAGGCACGTGGAAAAGGCTTTGTGGCGTCCCTGCTCAGAGGGCATCCTCAGCACGGCCCTGAAGATCTGCACATAGGACCCCACAATAAAAACAAAACAGCCAACAGTAATCAGGACACCAACCACAAGAAGCCCGACTTCCCTGAGGTAGGAGTGTGAGCAGGAGAGCTTGAGGATCTGCGGTATTTCACAGAAGAACTGCTCCACATCATTGCCTCGGCACAGGGGCAGTGAAAATGTATTGGCCATGTGCAGCAGAGCATTGAGAAACCCAGTGCCCCAGGCAGCTGCTGCCATGTGGACACAAGCTCTGCTGCCCAGGAGGGTCCCATAGTGCAGGGGCTTGCAGATGGCCACGTAGCGGTCGTAGGACATGGCAGTGAGGAGAGAATACTCTGCTGAGATGAAAAAGACAACGAAAAAGAGCTGTGCAACACAACCTGTGTAGGAGATGACCCTGGTGTCCCAGAGGGAATTGGCCATGGATTTGGGGACAGTGGTGGAGATGCAGCCCAGGTCCAGCAGGGAGAGGTTGAGGAGGAAGAAGTACCTGGGGGTGTGGAGGTGCTGGTCACAGGCTGTGCTGGTGATGATGAGGCCATTGCCCAGGAGCGCAGCCAGGGAGATGCCCAGGAAGAGCCAGAAGTGGCAGAGCTGCAGGTCCCGCGTGTGTGCGAATGGCAGGAGGAGGAAGTGGGTGATGGAGCTGCCGTTGGACATCTGCTGCCTCTGGGCATGGGGCACCGTCAGAGGAGAAAAAGGCAGTGACAGGTTAGGACAGGAGGGATGTCAGATACAGAAGTTCAGTTTACACATTCACAACTGAGCACATTTTAGCAGGAGAGGAGAGGTTCAGCGTCGTCACCAGTCATGTCATTACACTGCTGAGGCTTCTTCCTAGGTACAAGCAGAAGAGCATTGCATCAGGCAAAAAGTCTCAGTTCTTTGCAGAACCAAGAGAGCTGCAGTGTCCATCAGTCCTCTCCCACTTGCCCTGTGCTCAAACTTGCACTGCCTGTAAGGTGCCTTCACACAAATTGATCTTAAGAACTCCCACAAACATCTGTCCTGTGCTGAGACCAGGGGAGAACGGTTTCAAAGGACAGTCCACAGAGCTCTCACGCTGAGAAGCAAAGGGCTGTGGGCAGCAGAGCACGGCCAGCAGCCACCTCCAGTGGCAGACCCCAAGAGAGCTGCCTGAACGCACCCTCCCCAGGGCTGGGCTGCACTTTCCTCCCACTCCCTGCCCATCCATATCTCTGCTGCCTGGAGCTGTCCCTGCCAGGAGCTGCTGCTCTGTGCCCACCTCTGCTCCCTCTCAGTGCTCCCAGAGCCCATGCCATGGGCTGTGTGCTCAGCTCTGCCCTGCACACCCCTGCCTGTGCAGGGGCTCAGGAGCAGCTCACACAAGCCCTCACAAGACTCTCGGTGCCCCCCCCCAAAGCAGAGAAGTAAATTCCCAGCTCCCACTGCCCAACCTGCCCACCAAGAGGGAAAAACATCAAAGCTCAGCATCCTTCCCTATCAGGTAAATGATGCCTCAGTGTCTTTCAGAGGGACCCTCTGAAGAAGTGCTCAGAGTGACGGCAAATTGGAGCAGCGTCACCCACTCAGCACTTCCCTTCCCTGCCATGGGTTTCTCCTTTCCCCTCAGCTCCCCCCGAGCTCCATGGGAAGCTCCCGGGCAGGCTGTGCTGACCCTGGCAGGCAGCAGAGTCCCTGCCCCTGCACACAGCCTTTGGGACCCTGCTGCAAGGGCTGGCACAAGGGACCTGCCTTGTCCTGTGCCTGCATGGTGCAGGGGGAAGCCCTGCTCTGCAGCACATCCTCCTCCTTATCTACAGAGAGAAACTGCAGCTGCATTGCCCTGCACCCAGTGCCTTACCACAAACAGGGCTGGGAAGGTTTCTCCTTCAGAAGGTTCCTCCTCCTCCTCCTCAGCATCCTCCACTGCCAAGTGCCTTTAAGCTCCCTGTGTCTCGCCGGTCTCCCCTCGGTCCCAGCTTAGCAGCAGAGGCCCAGCCCAAGGTGGCTCTGCCTCTGCCCCACTGGGCTCCTTCCAGGGCTCCCTGGGGCTCCAGGGAAACACCATGGGAAACAGCCTGATTATACAAAGATTTAAGGCTAAAAATCTTTGTTTCTTACAATCAATCAATTAATTTGAAAATGGCCCTTTGAGAACATCAAATCCAACCATTAACCTATCTCTGGCAAGTCCACACACTGAGCATGAGAACCTCTCTGATAGGATACCCTGGTTGGATGGTCAGCAGCAGCAACTGGGGCTTTAAAGTTGAATTTTACATCCTACCTTAATTTCACTAATTTATATCCTATTCTGTTTGTTGTTAAACATTCTGCTATACATTAGAGCATAGAAATCAGCTGAACAAGTTATGTTGATGCAGAAACCTGTCCATATATATAATTGTAATTAAACGACTCTATGACGTCTCTATGACACCTCGATGAGTAAAGCAACACCTCTATGGGTAAAGCAACCAGACATTGCCCTCAATTTATGACTGGAATTCAGCACTACTGTCTTTGTTGGCACAGCGGCAAGAGGTGAGCACACCACTCTGAGAAAAATGGACTGACTTTAGTTACGGGGTGGAATGTGCTGATGCACTTCCCCCCCATTTCCTGGAGCCCTCTGCTTCCCCAGGAGTTCCTGTTAGGCCCCAGCCTTTGCACCGTGCAAGGAGTTGGATGCGGGCTGCTCCCTGGCTGCACCAGGAGCTCTGGTTGCCTGGCAAAGGTGGGAGCAGCACACAGAGATCAGGAAAGTTGGATACTCCCTGCTCATACCAGGAGCTCTTTCAGGTTGATCAGTCATTCCCTAAATCCTAAACAGTTTCACAAGAGGCATGGGGGACTTCTCTGGGAAACACGTTCCAGTGTCTCACCACCCTCACCAGAAAGAATTTCTTCAGAGAACATGGTTTCTGTTTCACTGCAGACAAAGGAGGCAGGAGAGAAGGGGTGGGGAGCACGCACCCCAGCCCCGACTCCGCACAGGGCAGCAAGGGGTGCTGCTCTTCACTACAGCACAGCTGGGCTGAACTGAGTCAGTGCTTACACAGAAACCTGTCCTTGCCCTTGATGAAGCTCTACAGGCCACAGGCTTCTCCACAAGTACCAGTCCATCTGTTTTTCTCGTCACGCCTTGCCCAGTGTCACAAGCTGTGGCACAAGGGGAGGCCCTTGTTGCTGTTTCTCCTGGAACACAGGGAAGTAGAAAATGAAATACTTTTTTTAATAATGAAACCCATTCCAGTGACCACGGAAAATATGGAACAAGATGCTAGAGCCCTACAGGTTTTACCAGGAAGAGCAACAATTAACTAAAAATTCCCTCCTGTGCTGTTTCCTTTCCCAGCCCATGGATACTTTCCTCAGTAACTGGCAAGTGCACATGACACAGCAAGAGATCTGGGTCAAGCAAGGCCAGGCAAGGCAAGGCAATGCAAGACAAAGGAAGGCAAAGCAAGGGAAGGCAATGCAAGGCTAGGGAAGGCAAGGCAAGGCAAGGCAAGAAATGGCAAGGTGAGACAAGGCAACTCAAGGCAAGGCAAGGCAAGGCAAGGCAGTGCTAGGCAAGGCAAGGCAAGGCAAGGCAATGCTAGGCAAGGCAAGGCATGTCCAGGCCAGGCAAGGCAAGGAAAAGCAAGGAAAGGAAAGGCAATGCAAGGCCAGGCAAGGCAATGCTAGGCAAGGCAAGGCATGTCCAGGCCAGGCTAGGCCAGGAAAGGCCAGGCAAGGCAAGGCAAGGCAAGGGAAGGACAAGCCAGGCCAGGCCAGGCCAGGCCTTGCCAGGGAAGGCAAGGCAAGGCAAGGCAAGGCAAGGCAAGGCATGGCAAGGGAAGGGAAGGGAAGGGAAGGGAAGGGAAGGGAAGGGAAGGGAAGGGAAGGGAAGGGAAGGGAAGGGAAGGGAAGGGAAGGGAAGGGAAGGGAAGGGAAGGGAAGGGAAGGGAAGGGAAGGGAAGGGAAGGGAAGGGAAGGGAAGGGAAGGGAAGGGAAGGCATGGCAAGGCAAGGGAAGAGACGGCAAGACAAGTCAAGGCAAGGAAAGGCAAGGCATGGCAAAGGAAGGAATGGCATGGCGAGGCGAGGTGATGCGAGGCAATGGAAGGCAAGGCAAGGCAAAACATGGCAAAGGAAGGAAAGTTATGGCGAGGCGAGGTGAGGCGAGGCGAGGCGAGGCAAGGCAGGGCAACAGAAATAAAGACAGAGTGAGGTGAGGAGAGGCAAGGTGAGGCAAGACAAGGTAAGGGAAGGAAAGGAAAGGAAAGGAAAGGCAAGGCAAGGAAAGGGAAGTCAAGGCATGGTGATGCGAGTGGAGGAAAGGCAAGGAAAGACGAGGTGGGGCAAGGCAATGCAAGGCAAGGCAAGGCCATTAAAGGCCAGGAAAGGTGAGGAGAGGTAAGGCGAGGCAAGGCAAGGGAAGGAAAGAAAAGGCAAGGCAAGGCATGGCAATGGAAGGCAAGTCAAGGGAAGGGAAGGCAAGGCAAGGAAAGGCAAGGTAAGACAAGGCTAGGCGAGTCAAGGCAAGGCAAGACAGTGCAAGGCAGTGCAAGGCAAAGAAGGGAAAGTAATGGTGAGGTGAGGTAAGGCAAGGCAAGGCAAGGCCAGGCAAGGCGAGGAGAGGCAAGGAGAGGCAAGGCCAGGCAAGGAATGGCAATGGAAGGAAAGTAACGGCGAGGCAAGGCAAGGCGAGGCGAGGCAAGGAACGGCCATTAAAGGCCAGGCTAGGCTAGGAGAGGCGAGTTGAGCTGAGGCAAGGCAAGTCAAGGGAAGGAAAATCCTCGCGAGGCGAAACAACGTGAGGAGAGGCGAGGCGATGAGAGGGGAGGCAAGGCAAAGCAAAGCAAGACCAGGGAAGGCAAGGCATTGCAAGGGAAGGAAAGGCATGGCAAGGCAAGGCAAATCAACGCAAGGCAAATCAAGGCAAGGCATGGCAAGGAATGGCAAGGCAAGGAAAGGCAAGGAAAAGCAAGGGAATGCAAGGCAAGGCAAGGGAAGGCAAGGGAAGATAAGGCAAGGCATGGCAAGGGAAAGAAAGACTTGGCAATGTGAGGCGAGGCAAGCCAAAGCAATGCAAGGCAAGGCAAGGAAAGACAAGGCATGGCAAGGGAAGGAAAGGCATGGCGAGGAGAGGCAACGCGAGGCGAGGCAAGGCAAGGCAAGGCAATGCAAGGTAAGGGGAGGCAAGGCGAGGCGAAGCGAGGTGAGGCGAGGCGAGGCAAGGAAAGGCCATTTCAGGCCAGGCAGGGCGAGGCTAGTCGAGGCAAGGTGAGGCGATGTGAGGCGATTCCAGGCAAAGCAAGGCAAGGCAAGGGAAAGCAAGGCAAAAGGCAAGGCAAGGCAAGTGAAGGAAAGGCATGGCAAGGCAAGGGAAAGCAAGGCAAGGCAAGGGAAAGCAAGGCAAGGCAAGGGAAGGGAAGGGAAAGCAAGGCAAGGGAAGGAAAGAAATGGCAAGGCGAGGCAACGCAAGGCAAAGTCAACCAAGGAAAAGCAAGGCAAGGCCATTTAAGGCCAGGCAAGGCGAGGTGAGATGAGGCAAGGCAAGGCAAGGCGAGGCAAGTCCAGGCAAGGCAAGAAAAAGCAAGGGAAGGAAAGGCATGGCAAGGCTAGGAGAGGCAAGGCAATGTGAAGGCAAGGCAAGGCAAGGCAAGGCATGGCAATGGAAGGAAAGTCCTGGCGAAGCCAGGCGAGGCGAGGTGAGGCGAGGCGAGGCAAGGCAAGGGAAGGCAAGGCATGGCATGGCAAGGGAAGGGAAGGAAAGTCATTGCAAGACATGGCAAGGCGAGGGAAGGCAAGGCGAGGGAAGGCAAGGCAAGGGAAGGC